GGGGTTAGAGGGGGGTTTAGAGGCGGTTTGGTCATCTGGGAAAACCTGCAGTTTGTATACATTTTTTTGTAATAAATTTTTGTGACCCCAGTTCTGATACCTCGTATAAGCTGTTACTATTTCTCCTAATTATTCTTTAAACAATGAGGTAAGGTACAGAGTTCGGACATCCACAGGAAGCTCAAAGTAGACATGCTGCTCTGCTCCTTCATGTCTACAGGAGTAGAGGCGGTTTGGTCATCTGGATGTCTTCCACTGGAGGTTTTCCAAACATATCCCAATGGCAGGAGGCCCTGGGGCAGACCCAGAACATGGTGGAGGGATTGTACAGTATATACAGTATCTAGCCTGGGAATGCCTTGGAGTCTGCCAGGAGAGAGATATGTGGATCACCCTGCTAAACCTGCTGCCCCAGTGACCTGACCCCAGATAAGTGGATGATAATGGTTGAAGGGACAATATTGATAATTTTGTGAGGTCTTTATTAAAATTTTTTTAAAAAGCATTATGAAAGCAATGATACCTTGGGCCACATTACTTTGCTCTACAAAGCCAAAATGCAGCACATATTTTGCAGAAACTAGGAGAGTTGTTGAAATGTTTTACTATATAAAAATGGTACAGAAATATATAGAAGTGTAATTAGTGAAAAAAGAAGAACAAAGAAATAAAGAAAACATAAATAAAAACCAAATAGCAGTGACACCTAAAGCAAATTTGCCCACTTTTTTTTCAATTGTCTGTTAGTTTAAATGTTTGTTCTGATGCTCCAGCATCTTAGTAACTGAATTGTATTACATAAATAAGACAGTATCCAAGTACAGTTGTCATAGGGAAAAGAGTAACTAGCCTAGTTTAACAGAAAAGCAGTAACAGCTGCCTGTTGTCATGTAATTCATATGGTTTGCTTTGGTTAAATTACATTTATATCACATTTTTAAATGTATTTAAAAATTAATTTGTTAAAGTAGCTTGTTAGTTCAAAAGGACAAGAATGTTGAAGAGGAAATGGGTTCTAATAATAGCTTAAAAAAGGAAAACGGTTTTTGCAGTTTATTATAGTTTATCAAAGTTTAAACTTCAAACCCTTTTTTCTTGACAAGTTACTGTTTCTGTAGTTGCTATTCTCAGCCTTGTAAGTAATAGTCACTATCATCATACATGTCCTTCCAAGTCCAGAATCTGCAATGTGTCAATTAGGCTGTGCGATTTTGTCTAAGAGACAGTCTGGCTTTTGTGTTACTGTCAGTACCTCTAGAAAATCAAGCCCCCACCCTCCACCCCCTTTCCCCATTTTCTCTTCCCAGGTCATGTTTTTTGCCTACTGGCTGTACTTCTACATCCTCTACCCCCCTGATATTTTTTAAAAGCCAGACAGAGGGACTGGCCCAGAAATACAGCTCTGAAGATGGATACAACTTGCTGTCACCCCTACTGTTTGCCCTCTAGGGACCTAGCCTGATTACAGCACCATCATTCTCTCTCTTTTAGTTCTGGACACACACAGAAACACACACACTGTTGTGGCACTCCTCTTTCAATGCACATCTGTACTTTGCAGCTCATTGAATATGCTTTTTCAACATTATTATTATTTTCTAAGAGCCTTGAATTTGTGTGGTCTCCTGTCACTGTATATTCAGACTCTCTGAAGTCTCAGACTCAGAGAGAGAGATGACTGTGGAGATATTGTTCCTGATGACAGCTGGCCAGTCACATAATTGGTTGTCACTCTCTATCACTGATGCTTCCATTGGAGCAGAAAACTAGTCTGGTGGAAAAGAATCCACTGCTACATCTATAATTCAACAGAGACACAAACTGTCTTCAGCCAGCAGTTTTTACTTGGCAGAACTTACAGCTTATAGTAAGCTACTTTGCACTGGTGCATGCCAGGTACTGTTACTACAGCATTTGTTTCATGCCAGGTCAACAGGAGCAGTAATTGGACCAAGGTGGGTTTGTGCAAACAATTGCTAAACCTTGCTCATAGGAAAACACATTTTTAGAGCAAATGCTGCATTGGTCAACTTACCTGTTAAATTATTAGAATCAAGAACCTACATTATCTGT